GAGAGAGGACGGGTGGGTGGGGGGAGGCCCGGGCTCTCCCCGAAACAGGCCCCACCTGGCTCCTGACGCACCCTCGGGGGGCACGGGGGGTGGGGAAGACTCTGGGAGCTGCCTCTTCCTGAGGGTCCAAAGCAGGGACCCCAGTAATCCACGTCCTACCCTGGCCTGGGCCGTCTTCCCACAGGAGAAGCGAGGGGCGGGCAGGCTGCACTCTGCCTGCTAACTCGGGGTGTGAGAACCGCCCGGCTCCCTGCGGTCCTCCCGCCATCCCCCGCCCAGCAGGGGAGGCCGAGGCACACTGTCCTCAAGAGGCAGAATGGCTCTTCGGAGGCGAACTCCCTGAGAAGCCGGACAGGGTCTCCAGGGAGTGAGGACAGCAGGGAGGGTGGATCTCGGCGACGCAGGGCTCACTCACACCACAGCCGGCACACGCTGACCGGGGGCCCCCTGCCTGGCCTTGGGCCCACCCACCTACCCAGCGGCAGGCTCCAATCTCGAAGAGCACCCTGCCCCCAGCCCTGCACACCAGGGCGCCAGAGCACCGAGGACGGACACCAACCGTCCCCAGCGTGAACCGGAACCTCGGCGGAAACAGAGGGCTGACAATGGGCAGGTCTACACGCCTGGGCCCTCGCGTGCCCTGCCCTGGACCCCAGGTACGCCCGCTTAGTGCCAAATCTGCCCCTGACAGCAGCACCATGAGACCACCAAGCAGATCTCAGGTTGGGAGGTCAGGGGTGCTATGGGGGCCTGACTTCCCATCCCCTCACAGCTCCCCATCCTGAGGACCCTGAGTTCTGTGCCCTCCCCGGCCCTACTCTGGTCCCATCCCCTGTGCCTTCACTGGCCAGCACCCGCCCATCTGCTGGTCGGAGGCGTCCGCCCCCGATGACAGCACCGAGAGACCACACGCAGGATCCCGAGATCAGAGCCGGAGGCTCGGCCACAGCTCCAGGCTTCCCCCCACCCCGCCTGGACCCCCGCTGGCTGGCTGCACACCCCTCTCCCAGCCTCGGTTTCCTCCTCTGTCACTGGGACCTGTCAGGGCTGCTATGACCACTCAAAGGGTCACCAAGGGAACGCCAGGCGCGGCCAGCACGCGGCCTCCCTGTCCTCCACCGCCACGCACTCACAGGCCTTTGGTGCCCTCATCCAGGATAAACTCGGGGAACCACGGCCCAGAGGGAGGGTGACGTGCGGGCGGCCGAGGAATCAGGAGCGCAGCCGGGCCGGGCCCTCCCTGGGGGCCTGCGCCCGCTCACACTGGGCCCTCCACCCCAGCACGCCCACCCTACACACCCACGGCTGGACAGCCCAGAACCACCCTCAAAACAGCTGGCGGCCCCGTGGCCCTGGGGCCACATCTGTCTGCCGAAGCCCGACAGCAGCCCCGAGAGGCCACGGGCGAGTCCCACGAGCCAAGGTCAGGGGCGCAGGTGCATCAAGGTCAGGGGCGCAGGTGCATCAAGGTCAGGGACGCAGGTGCAAGAACCCAGCACCCCCTTAGTGGCCCAACACCGATTTCCCAGGCGACCCTGGCTGACGCCGTCCAGTCCTCAGGCCTGTGTTCCCCATTGTCTCCCCATTGTCAAGGGGAGATGTGGCGAGAGGTGGCGGGAGTTCCAGGGCCCATGAGCCAATCTCCAAGGGCCCTGGTTCCCCAAATCCCTTCTGCTCCCAGGTGACACTCTCCGCCAGGGGCTCCCAAATCCCTTGGCATGAACTTCCTGGGCCAGAGTCTGAGGTCATGACGGGGGGGCCACTCCCAGCACTGGCCCCTTGCTCAGGCGGCCCTGGGGGTCCCAGAAGCTGGACCCACCCCCAGGCAAACTTCTGTGCCTGCTTGGTTGGGGCTCCTGTGGGCAACTGGGGGAATGGACGAGTGACCCCTCACGTCCCTGCAGCCCTGGCTCGCTCAGCTGGAGGGGCAATGGGGCAACGTCCAGGCTAAGGCCAAACGGAGAAACTGTCACCATATACTCAGCTGCCCCGCGGTGGGGAGTCCAGCCACCTACTGGGGTGCAGACGTCTTCCACAGTGACGTGCACACACACACACGCACACACACACACACAGGAGGACCAGCGGGCTGCCAGCACAACAGTGGCCGCTGCGTCTTACACCAGCAGACAGCGATGTCCTGGCCTCACTGGGTCCCCTGCTCCCACCTGCCCAGAGGGGACTTTATCCCAATTTACAGAGAAGAGAGGCAGCCCCCAGGCCGAGGAAAGCTGACAAGGCAAAAACACAGGGTGATGAGCCCCCCGTCTTCCTAGAAAAAGTATAAAAATACAATACCAACCTTTTTTCTCCTGGGGAAAAAAAAAAGAGTTAGTATTAAATGACATGCTGGGTTATGACATCATGGCCACCACAAGAAAGGTAAAAATTCAAGACAAGCGTGTTTACTCTGAACAACAGGTGCCCAGCACACAGGCACACGGCCACGCCAGGCCATGCCTGAGTGTCCCCATGTCCCACCCCCCAGCACACGGGCACACGGCCACGCCAGGCCACGCTTGAGTGTCCCCATATCCCACCCCCCAGCACGCGGGCACACAGCCACGCCAGGCCATGCCTGAGTGTCCCTATGTCCTACCCCCCAGATCACTAGCATCCACTGAGCTCTGATACCATCCAAGGGACCAGGGGACCCCTGAGTTCAACCCCAGGTGACACTACCAACCCCTCCCCCACCTCCCAGTCCCCGCACAGATGCCCCGAGCACTCCGGCCTCCAGGCCTGGGCCTGACCCTGGAACGTGGGACAGCACACGTGGCGCAGGCAGCTGATGGCTACTCACCACTCGGCTCCGGATTTGCCTGTCCCTCCCGGAGGCGGCCAGAGGTCCAGTCAGGGCTCCTAAGGCAGGCGTCCGTGCAGGGGGGCGATGGGAGCTACAGAAGCTGGACGTCCACTCCCCGCCCAGAACCCTCTGCTGGCCAATGCACGTCGCCAA